TATCTATCTATCTATCTATCTATCTATCTATCTATCTATCTATCTATCTATCTATCTACTTACTTACTTACTTATCCATCCATCCATCCATCCATCCATCCATCCATCCATCCATCCATCCATCTATCTATCTATCTATCTATCTATCTATCTATCTATCTATCTATCAGCAGGGTCTCTCACTGAACCCGAGTCTCCCCAGCTTAACTAGACTGGCTATCCCGCAGGCTCTAGGGGGCCTGACTCTGCCCACAGCACTGAGGTTACAGACCTGCCCCACACTCTGCTTTTGCACGGGCACCGGGCCCCTGAACTCAGATCCTCAGGCATGTGAGGCAGGCAGATTACTGACTCTTTACATTTAGGAATTGAGCACCGGAGAAAAACAAACAAGAAGGAGAAGTTCTGGCTGGGTGTGGCGGTGCACGCCTTTATTCCCAGCACTCAGGAAGCGGAGGCAGATGGATCTCTGAGTTTGAGGCCAGCCTGGTCTGCAGAGCTAATTCCAGGACAGCCAGGGCTACATACATGCACGCACACACACACATACACACACACACAAGCTCTGTCTCAAAAAAAGATACACAAGAGGCGAGAGGAAGACATGGGAAGAGGAAGGATGCCTGTGCTAGCCAGCAGGTACACTGAGAAAATGCTCTTGCAGAGGACCCAGATTCAGTCCCCAGCATCCACACAGACTCACAGTCACCTCTAGCACTAGTTCCAGGGGACCTGACACCCTCTTCGGACATCGGCAGGCGCTGCACATATTCGGTGCACGCACATACCTGCAGGCAAGACACTCACACACATGAGAGGCAACAACTGGGTTTTGGTTTTGTTTTTACTTGGGGATCTGAAGAGGTGGCAGTTGGTAAATGCAGGAGAACCTGGGTTCGGATCCCCAGGACCATGTCACAGCTGGGCGTGGTGGTGGCCATCTGCAACCCTAGGGCTTGTGATCCCAGCCAGCTTAGCAGGGACATGGAGCTTTAGATTCACTAAGAGAGCCTACCTCAAAAATGAGGTGGTGAGCCATAAAGGAAGACAGTTGGCTTTGGCCTGTAGCCTCCACACATACACACGTGTGCATGCACACATTACCACACACACGCGCACACACACACACACACACACACACACACACACACCCCACACTCACATGGAGAAGAGTGAGGACGAGGCTAAGAACAAGCTTGGGGTGTTCGTGTGAGAGAGGCCCTGGGTTTGTCTCCGACATGGAAGGGAGGAAGAGAAGCGGGAGGGCGGAGGAAGAAGGAAAGATGCAGAATGCAGGAAGGGAGGACGACATAGCCATCTCAGGACAGTCAAGGGGCACAAGTGCCAGGCCCAGGGTCTTCCTGAGGAGAAAGAGCACAGCTGTGGGGCTGTGTTCCACAAGGGATGTGCTGCGGGACCACTCACATGTGCAGCGACAGGAGAGGGAAACTGAGGCACTAAAGCCAGAAGAGCAGGGACAAGGACCAGGAATGAGACCTCTCATAGGTGCTGTGTGCGGATCAGGGGCACCTGGGAGGGCAGGGGCTGGAGACTGGGTGATATTTTAGGGTCACTCGCTTTGGTGGCGGCAGAGAGCGGGTGGGGGCGGGGACAACCAAGAGAGCTGAAGCAGGGAGGAAGGAGGGCAAGGGGTCAACCTCTTCCTGGGGGTGCAGGGGCCCTGGGGACAAGCAATAGGGGCAGAATACACATGTGATCATATAAACACCAAAGATGTTCCCAACACACACACACAAACCAAGTACCCACCCGCTCACGCAGCACCCACGTCTACACGATGCCACAACTCCCTAGAAAGAATCTCTGGGCACCCCTATGACTGGCACTTGTGGCTCAGAGCCTCAGCACCATGACCCTCTTGGGAAAGTGAGCCAGACAGGAGCCATTGCTCAACATCTCCAGCCTATCCAGCGCAGGGTCAGGGAGGAGGCAGGGCCAGACCTCGCGTGCCTGCCCACACAACCACTGTCCCCAGCGGCAGACACCGGCCACCAACGCAGACAGCTGGGATTACAAGGGATCTTGCAAAATCCTTCCTATCCTTCAGGGCTCATCTACGGTCCCTCCCTCTCCCCCTTTCTCTCCATCTCTCCCTCTCTCTGTCTCCTTCTTCCTTTCTCTCTCATGTCTCTCTCTCTTTCTCTCTCTCTCTCCCTCAGCCTGGGGAGCACATGGACCCTTTTAGAATTCTAATTTTGTAATTATCCCTGTGTGGCCTTGGGCAGGTCACTTCATCTCTCTGTGCCTCCTTTCCACCTGTGTGGAGTGAGGCTAGGACACTATCATATGGGAATCAACTTGGGGCATCCCCCTAACGGCCCTTCACCATAAAGGCCGACACTGAGGTCAGTGAGAGCAGCAGCTCCCTTGTGTACATTGACAGCTGCCCACAAGCTCACCTCCAGCTCCTGCCTGATCTTTTCCCTGCAGGGCAGGATCCTGGCATAGCACTGTGGCAAACGCTTTCTTTTCTCACTCCTATGGAGGGACAGGAATCCAACTGTAGGGGCTGGAGAGCTGGCTCAGTGCTTAAGAGCACTTGCTGCTCTTTTTTATTTTTTGGTTTTTCAAGACAGGGTTTCTCTGTGTAGGCTTGGTCTGGCTGGCCTGGTCTCACTTTGTAGACTAGGCTGGCTTTGAATTCACAGAATCCCACCTATTCCTGCCTCCCAGAGTGCTGGGGTTAAAGGCGCACATCACCGTGCCTGGCCACTTGTTGGTCTTATAGAGGGTTCAGTTTCCAGCAGCCACATGGTGGCTCACAACCATCCGTAACTCCAGTTCCAGGGGATCCGATGCCTTCTTCTCACCTCTGTGGGTGCTAAGCATGTCTGTGCAGGCAAAACACTCATACGTATAAAACAAGTAAGTCTTTAAAAAAGTTAAAAAAAAAAATCCAAGTATGGTGCAATTTGGCACATACAGGAGCAGGCAGCCTTCAGGAAAAGGGTGAGACCGAGGTCTCAAAAGCCTGAATTTCTGTTCCTGTCTTCGTGGATGACCTGAGACCTATGTACGGACAAGATCAGAGGGTAGAAATGGGCCCTAGCTGAGGTTTCGTCCTGTCCCATCTCTACTTGTCCAGGCCTGCACCTCCGCTGGGCTGGACCCTGAGCTGCACACTGGAGGCCCAAGCACACCTTCTAGGGCAGCCCTGCCAACCCCAGCCCAGGCTGATCCAAGCCCTCCAACTTCCATTGCCCAGAGACCCCCATGGAGGCCTCTGTAGAGCAAAAAGGTTGGTGGGCCTCGGCCACTACCTCAGCCTGGAGACGGCTAGGCCCAGCCTACACCATCAGCCTCCAGGGAGGTGGAGACCCCTCCCTGAGGCACCAGGGAGCCCTGTGCCTGTGACCCCCAAATGTCTGAGGTTGCAACTCAGTGGATTTCCTTCCATGTGGCCTGGGAGAGGCAGGAATCCAGCCTTGGGACCCCAAGGGCCCTAATGCCCTGAGAGTTAATGGCCCTCCTCACTGACAAAGCAGATGTGGATAGAGATATAATTGGGCACACAGATATACACCCTCACCGGGCTGGGCTGGGCTCTAGGCTCATCTGGGGTGTAGCCTGGGCCCCCAGCCTTGGGGTATACTTGACCAGCCTGCTGGGCCATCTGTCACTCTGGCTGGATCAGATCATGAGCATCCCTAAGCCAGGTAGGGCTGGTTTGGACCTTGTCTATAGACTTGGCTGAGGCCTAAGGCTTTTGAGAGAGCCAGGGTAAGAAGAGCACCCAAACCCGAGAGTGACTCAGGCAGACCTCCCAAGCGGCAGGTATAGAGGATCATTCCTGAGGGTCCCGGCTCAGTGCAGGCTGCCCCCCCCAAGCCTGAGCTTACACCAGTCCCCCGTTACAGAAGACAGGACCTCTCTATCCCACTCCCAACCACACACAAACTCCAAAAAAATGCTCCCTCCCAGGGTCTCAGAAGGAATTGATTCCTGGACATGGGGAAACTGAGGCTGAAGAGGACTAGCCAAGGCCTCTCCCCACGAACTCACCATGCTGTGCTCTAGGCTCATCTGATGTGCAGCCTGACGCCTTAAGCTCGGGGTCCCCAGAGCCAGGCGGGCTTACTGCCAGAAGCCTGCCCTGTGTGCTGGCTTTTCTGGGGAGTCACTCTGACCTGGGTACACAGAAGTCACACCCTTCTTCCCATCCTGGGCTTGGGCGGGTCTGAACTGAAGATACCTGATAACCTCCCAGGGCATGTGTGGGGCCTTGGCCCCTGCAATGGAGTCCTGGTTCTGGCTGAGCAAGAGGCCCCTGGACAGAAAAACCCAGGCCCAGATGTACCCAGGCATGTAACACTAGAGGACAAACGGCTCCAAATGGCCTCTCAGGCTCTGTTCTGTCCACCTAGCCCCACATCTCAGTGGGAAAATGCCTAATCACCATGTCAAGTGTCATAAACTATGCGATTTCTCCACAAGAGGGACATGAGAGTTTGGGCAAGGCCCATAGGAATGCAGGTAATAGCCTCAGAGAAAGGTGCTTTGGGACCACCTGGTTTCCTGGTATCCAGCCAGGGACTCTTAGGAGGGTACACCTCCACCTTCCCTGAGCTAGCTCAGGGTCTATGGTCATTTCCTCTACTGTCTAGAACTCTCTAGGTTGTTTTGCAAGCGACTAAGAATGAAGAGACGCTAGACTTTAGACATGATCAGCCTTGGTTGGGAACCACTTGACTTAGTCACAGATGTGCTGGAGGCTTCAGTTCCTCATTTGTGACACATACACACTGCTTGAGAAGCCAAGGAGATGGGACAAAGCTGGTAGAGACCAAGACCGATACTGGCTGTCACTCAGAACCAGAGGGCGCAGCTCATCAAGTCTTTCCTTTATTTAAACAGTCACAAAATCAGATGTAAAATGAGATGTAAAAACCCTTTCCTTGGAGCCCCGAGAAGGAAAGGCACTGTTGGAACTCCATCTGGCTAGGAAGGCAACCCAAGCTGGAGATCAGAGCCCAGCTTAGGGAAGTAAGACCCAGCCAGGTGAGAGGGGCCGGGAGTGAACCTCGGGCAGGAACTGTGCAATGCTGAGGTCACGCAGAAAATGTTCGGGGTCTAAGCCCCAAGCACCATGGTGTCCTTTGTGGGCAGACATTTGGAGTCAGCACCTGCCCACTGTGCCTAGAGGTACATGCCCATGAGTGCGAGCTCATGCAGCTCACACACAGACAGCAGAACCAGGGCCCCTCGGCAGGATCAGGGGACTCACTGTAAAGCTTCAGGAAACAGCCCAGAAAAGTCTCTGAAGGCCCAGGTGAGGGGATGCTGGGAGTCTGGTGTTCTCTATGGATCTTTGGAAGAAAGGCCTTCTTGCCTTTGCTGGAGTATCTCGATGACACTGCTGATCTCGTCTTCAGGAACCTGGGGTAGATGCACAGTATGAAATGCCAGGCTGAATCTGGCCAGGGAGGCCCAACTCCCTCCAGCAGCTGGGATTTCTTCCTTCCCCCACCCCCGGGACCTCAGTGCCCTTGCCAGCCCCTCCAGCCCAGCTCAGGTAGTACTCACCAGGGCATGGTCGAAGTTGAAGGTGCTGATGTAATAAGCAGAGATGTCAGCAGCTGCCAGGGGACCCGCGATCTGGGCCACAATCCCACACTCATCTGAGGGTTGGAGACGCACGGTGTTTACCCTAGTCATGAATACCCACAGGCTTGCCCTCCTCCCTCCTCCATGGCTCAGTACTGGGGGTGAGCGGTCCTCACCGAAGCCCAGGGGCTGTCCCCCGATGCGCACCATCCTCCATAGCTCCCCAGAAGAACTGGTCAGCAGGAGGTCACTGGGGAACCTGAGGAGACAGATGGGTGATGCGAAGGGCGCCCCACGCATCCCCACCTGCCCTGAGGCCTGGCGGCCCTCCCCCACCTTCCCTGAGGCTAGCCGGGAGTCTATGGCTCTCTAGGGGTCAAGGAAGGGGTTGCATACCTTTTCTGGGTCTCGGCATCCATGACGATGGAGATGTAGCCCTCAATGAGGGAGAAAGCAAAGAATGGAATGGAACTTGACTCAGGACCACCTGAGGCTGCCTCCTTGGGGACACTGGGGAGGGGTGACAGGGTCAAGGGCTCTGCCAGGCGTGTGGCCCTCCACATTCCCTGACGAGCAGACCACAGAAAAGGAGCTCTGGAAGAGATGGCTCTGGGAAGGCCCTTGAATCACTACTTCACTGTGAGAGATCCCTGAATTCTTGAGGGATAAGCCCTAACTGCCAAGGGCAGAGGACCTGACTGGGCTGTATGTGGCTGGGGAGTGGTTCTGTTCGGCTCACACCTCTGGCTGAGGGCTAACAGGCTGTCAAGGGACCCTAAGACACTGAGCGGGATACAGAGTGACAGAAGAGATGGATGGGACAAAGGTCAGAGGGCAGGAAGCATTTGTGTGAGGCAGAGATCAAGGGCGCGCGTGGCCCACCTGTGTGAGTAGAAGAGGACATCGATGAGGGTGGTAGCAATGGCGGGCAGCGTCTCGGGGTCCAGGGTGAGGACGCAGAAGCGGTTCTGCGGGCTCTGAACCGGATGCACCGTGGGACCAGGCCCTGCTTGGGAGACACGGGCCACAAGGTGGAAAGGCAATCCTGGACTGGGGTGACCCCTGGTGGCTGGGCAGGGAAGGGTCTGGGTGAATCTAGCCCATCTCGCACACTGAGAGATGGTCTGCCGGTCCCCGGAAAATACCATCCATTCCTCGGACAAGCCCTCCTTCGGGAAGAGGTCCCACCTAAATCTGGGTGCTGCGGGCAGACCTTACCGTGCTGCGCTCGGGGGAAGCCGTTGCTGGAATCATCGATGTCAACAGGCACAGGCTCCCCACCTACTTCACGGTAGATCTGAAACTCCTGGGCCAGCGTGTGGATCACCAAGGACAGGTCCTGCTCCCGCACCTGGGGTCAAGGCAGACGACACACATTACGCAACCCCAGGCACCCTGCTTCCACCCTGCGTCAGCACCTGCCCAGACCTACCAGGATGAAGTCCGTCTGGTATGTGGACAACATGAGCACAGACACATGGTGCTCGGCCAGCGGGGCAATGACAGAGCGGGCAATCTTGGTGACTCCGGCGGCCTGCACCACAGCTCCACTGTGAGACACGTTCATCACCAGCCACGTGGCCTCGGCCACTTGCAGGAACTCGGATGGGGGTAGCTCTGTGGAAAGGAGGTACATGCCTGGTTAGTCTGCTGTGCACCCATTTCTCCAGCTGAACCTTGTCGGCTTCTGACAAGGCAGGCCAGGCCTGTTTCCTGACGGTCCTGGAGACCAGGGCTGTTTCCTCTCATTTCTACCTTGGTGGGTATGCAGCCGCTCTCAGTGAGCATTAGCGCTCCAAGCTTTGAACTAGGTTCAAGTCCCAGCTATACCGTCTTGCTGTGTGACTTGGGACAAGTGTGTTTGGGGTTTTTTGATGGTTTGTTTGTTTGCTACGAGACAGAGTCTTACAATGGAGGTTAGGCTGGGATTTAACCCAAACTGATCCTCTTTCCACAGCCTCCTAAAGGCTGGGGTTACGCTCTCAGTTTCCTCTCTGCAAAATGAAATAGTCCTCAGGCCTTTCTGGCCTAATGGGTTTCATAGCTCCACCAGAGGGCGCCCAGGGATCTACTGATGGGGAAACGCTCCCTCACAGACCTGAGATTTCCCTAAGAGCGGGGAAACTAAGTCCTTTGGGAGGGAAGCCAAGCGCCTGGTGGCTTGCCTTAGAGGACGGGCCAGGCAGAAATGGGAGCCAGAAGTCCTGAACAGGGACAAGGGCCAGGGTGGCTGTTGTTCGCCCAAGCACAGCCAGGAGGCCCCAGGACCTTGCTCTGGGCTTGTTGCCTGCTCCTGCATTCCTTCCCCAACCCTGAGACTCCCAGACATCCCAGGCCAGGAGGAGCTGGCTTTCACTGGGGAGATAAGTCCAAGAAGAAATAATGCCCAGAAGCTAAAACAGCTGCAGGAACCCCCATACTCTGGCCTAAAACAACTGTAAGGGAGACCTCCCCTGCTGGCCTGGGACTCATATCCAGCTCCTCCTGGGCTTTAAGCTTATAAAACTCTCATAAATACCGATGAACTATCATGACTACCTCCTATAGAAGAGAAAACAGTACTTAAGTGAGCGGTGGAGGATTTGAAATGAGACCTTTGAGGACTACATTTTCAGGATGCTGGGTCGCTGAACCTAGTAAGAACAGTGCTTCCATGTGAGCAAGGGGCCAGTTCCCACCTTTAAAGCCCTCTTCATCCACCATGAGTGTGTAATCTTCTGGGGTCTCCGTCAGGCTGAAGAACTGGCACCTGGCAGTGAGGGAAGCGTTGGGGAGACTTTCAGCCTGGAGTGAATGGGATTCAGACAGCAAGTGAACTTTGTTCCAACAGCACTCACAGACCCCTGCAGGGAGCCTTCCGGACCCGCCCTCAGGCTTCAACTTCTTCTCTGGAGCAATGTGGTCTAGGTCCCATGTCTGGGATCTCCCCTCCATTCCACACCCTAGAGGTGTCAGGCTTTGGGTCCCCGTGGACAACTCTCAAACTTCACGTGAGGCGTCTGGGAAGGGGCTAGGAAGGCAAGTCCCCGCTACGTTGCCCATTCCTGGCAGTTTGCACCTTAACAAGCCCTGGGATGGGGCCTCTCCGGGCCGGATAGGCGGCGTCCCAGAAAGGGTAGGCCCAGGCCGGATGGCAGCCAGCGTGGACAGCGTCCCTACCCGGTACCCGCTGCCTCGCGGCGACCCTCATCCTCCGCCCCTGACCCAGAGTGACCCGCCCGACCTGCGCCCGTGAACCCCGGTGCGCACCGGCTGCGACGGGGCAGGAAGAGCAGCTTGATGAGCGGGTGCGTGTAGAGCCAGAGACCCTGGCGGGCCAGGCTCAGTACTCGCACCCGGTGCTCTAGGATATGAAGTTCCATCGCAGATCCAGGAGCCCTGGCCTCGCCGACAGCTAGACCCAGGCAGGAGGCGGGGCGGGGGCGCCCGGCTTAAAGAAGCAGGGCTCTACTCCGCCCGCCACGGGCCCGCCCAGCCAGGGACCCACTCTTCGGTGGCCACGCCCCATAAGCCCTTGTGAGGTGGCCACGCCTCCTCCTGAGCCCAGCCTTCCCGGCGCTGCGGGCTGCTTTGGAACCCGGCCTCCACCAGCTTCGCTCCTCTAGCCTGGGAATCACGGCCTGCTCCCACCCATCTGTGGCCTCCAGGCCACGCCCGGGGCCACGCCCTTTCCGCTGGATGACTGCTGATGAGTTTGGGGATTTGCCGGAAGCTCTGGGTCCGGACTATCCTCCAGGCTCGCACGTGGGCTTTATGGTTAAGGCCATTAAGACGCGGAGCCCTGCGGTGGTGACGTATGCCTCCCAGCGCCCGGGAGGCAGAGGCAGGCGTATCTCCGTGAGTTCGAGGGAAGACTGATCTACAGAGTTCCAGGACAGCCGGGACTACACAAAGAATCCCTGTCTCGAATTACCCCCCTCCCCCAACACCCCACAAAAAAGACACGGGAGTAGTATGCTGAGACCGGAGCTTGGAGCTTAGGCCGGAGGCCCGCGGTACACCTGGGTGGTGTTCTTCCTTTTATTGCTCGAGGACTTGAACTGCAGAGCTGATGAGGCTGATAGGGACTGAGATCCCTAAGAAAGGGCTGCCCAGGGTTGGTATTGCTACTTCATCTCTACCTTGTTTTGACTAGGTGAAACCTGGCCTTTGTGGCCCGGTTTTTAAATCACCCAATTTTCAAAGCAGGTTCCCCCTTCCCCCCCTGGCTAAGGGGAGGCACAGAAAAAGTAACCTCCTCACCTGCCTGAGCAACATACTATGGACTCTGAAACTTGAAGTTATTCCAGGGAAACAACCCAGAAGTACCTGAGCTGGGAACGCCCAGGACTCAGACATTGATGGGACAAGCCCTTGTACTTGAGGCTCCCTGAGTATTCGGGCCAGAGACTTGAGTCCCATTCAAGTCTCCTTAAAGCTTGTCGCCATTAGCAGAACTCAAACTGGCCTGAGCACATCTAAATTAGCTACAGATCCAAGAAAGCCCCAAGCACTGGCAGAAACCCCAGATATGATCAAGCGTCTGAAGGTTTTAGAAGACCCCAAGGCTGAGCAGGAATGAGCAAGCACAAGTAGTTCCGATGGCAGGACACAGCATGCTCCAAGGGGCCCTTGTTTGGCCCAGGCACTCAGCTTCAGCTTGGAGGCTTTGAACAAGGTAGGTCTGAGTAGGCCTTGGGCATGATTGGGCCCCAGCAGGCCCATGCAGGACTTCACACTCCGGACCCTGCACCAGAGGAAGCTGGGCTCAGCCCTGTTCCTGGCTTCGCTTGCTCAGATGATTCTCATGGAACACTGCAGCCACCACATCCTGGCCTGTCCCCTGGAGAACTGGGGGTGGGGAGTGGAGTGGAGTGCTTCCCAAAGGCTGAGCACATCTCACCATGGCAAGTGTGGACAGAGTGGGAAACTGTAGGGGTGAGAAGAGGCAGAGAGCGGGCAGGCTGTCCCAAGCCTCTGGTGACCATTTGCTTCTCTAGCCTCAGTATCCCCAGTTGCACCAGGACAACACGTTCTAGGCCCTTGCCTGAAAGCTCCCAGCGAGTCTGTTTCTCCCTCCCTGTTCCTGACTATGGTCTGGCCCTGCTTGGTCTCAGGCCAGGAACAGCCACTATTGTTTGACTAGAAAAGCTGCTTCCTCAGCAGAAGGGGGGCCTTCTCCCAGGGACACCCTGTTCTTGCTACTGCCAGTTATCAGGTTGTCACTGAGCACCTGCCTGCCACCCCTTCATGGAAGCCTGCTCACTTGGGTGAGGGGCTGGAGGGAATCATGGAATTCCTTTTATGTCAGGCACAAGCCCAGCCTGGCGGGTGGAGCATGTCAGTAAAGGGAAAGCAGCATTTCACCAAGGAGGCCAACTTCTTCTCTTACCTGTCTGCCTCTGGTGGAGGGACTTTACCTTGGTGGCAGCCCCAGGTAATAGTGTGAATGCTCAGAAGGTAACTGGGATCTAGGCTTGGTCTTGGAGGAGGAACAGCTTTAAGCTACCTCTTCATGGATCTACTCCCCATTCCCTAATAAATTTACAGAAGCAGGGACCAAAGCCTTGGGGTCTGTTTCCTGCTTTGCTCCGGTGGTGGGCTTCATCCCTGGAGTGACTCATTTGTGTCAGGAAATGGACATGGAAGCAGAGACAGATTGAGAGAAGAGCCAAGAACAGCAGCTGGCTCTGGACTTGGTGCCTCCTGTATGTTTCAGAGGGCCCCTGCTGGGCCTGAGGCCCAGGATGAAGGGTTATACCCTTCTGGTTCCCTAGCTGCACACCAGCTCTATACACAAGCCTGTTTATTTCAGTACAAAACCATATTTCTATTTTACACAAAGAGTACCCCACCACTTCCCCGCATGTCAGCACCCTATCCCTGGGGAACATCCCCAGTAGCATGGGGCTGAGAGAGACCCAACCCATTCGGCCGTAGCTTCTGCCTGTGCTGGCTGGGACAGCTCCACTCAAGAGAAAATAAATAAGGAGGCTCAGGTAGAATCTGTACTGGTCCGGCCAGATTCTATCCCAGCCCAATAGCCAAGCAGTTGGGCCCTCAGGTACAGAGGACCTGGAGTGCTGTCAGTCTTTGAACCGTGTAAGATGTGTGGAGACCCCACCTGGAGGCCTGAGCTCCTGGGGTTACAAATAGGTGTCCTCACTCTCCTGGGAGGTCAGGCTCTCCTGGGAACGGTGATAGACTAAGTTCTGGGGAGTAGAGTCCTGGGGGACTGGGTCCTGGGAGACTGGGTCCTTTGGGGGCACATCCTGAGGACTGCATGCATCTCCTGAAGCAGTCACCACTGTGGCTTGATTGGGGCCTGGGGACTTGTCCAGCTGTCCCCTGGCCTTTGTCCGCTTCTGCTCCTTCTGGACCTGCTTGGGTGGCTTAGCCTTTGAGCTGAGGAGGGTTGCATCTGGGGGTAGGCGGATGGACGGTGAAGGTTGCAGGGCAGGTCGGGGACCAGGCTCTGCATCCAGGATGGCCTTGGCGCCATGCATCCTGGGCGGAGAGCGACACTCCAGCTCACCACGGGTCTCTTGCCAGCGTCGCAGCTGGATGAGGTGCTCCCGCTCAATCTGGCGCTCTGTCACAGGCAACTCTATCACCTTTGGGACAATGTAGGGCACATGAACACCAGAAAGAATGGCCTTTCCCTTCTGCCCCCAATCCTAGGCTTTCCTGTCCACCAGCAACCCCTAGCTGTGTCTACTAAAGGCTGAACCCAGGGAGGATGTGGTTGTGGTCTAAGTGCCAAACCTGAGCCCCACTGTCTCACAGGAAAAAGCTACCTACAGCTCATAGGCCCACTCACCTTACATCTAGGACAGAAGGGGCAGGGCTGAAATGGGCAACTTCACTCTCAGCCAATACTGTCCCCTCCTGACCAGGGCAGCCTGACTGGCCAGGCTCCAATTCCAGCCCCATCACTTTTCCACCTTTGACTGTTGGGAATCACTTTGAAATCTTGCCTCTATGAGCCTCTATTTTCTTGAGTGTAAAATGGGGACAATGCTGGAAGTGGGTACAGAATAACCTTAGAAGTCTGCCCTTGCAATATGCACTAGCATGAGCCTGGCCAAAGTCCCACCACAGAATGTATGTGTCAATTTGTAGCCCCTGAAAGAAGAGTATCCAGAAAAGAACTCTTCCCTGTTCCCAGAGAGGAGTGGACTAGCAAAGGAAGGCACTGCACAGTGCCGCTTGTGCCCCACCCTCCACCCACCCTGACCTGGGCTGACTACCCCTTGGGGCAGGGCCATACAAAGCCCCCCAAAGCCATTGCCAGCTCCCCTTCCCTCCTATAGCAAGTGGGAGATGTGGTGCCCCACCTCCTGGACCAGGAAGGCTTCCTGCATGATCTTGGGACTGAGGCTCCGCAGCTGCTCGATGGTTTCGTACTGGCCCTGGCAGGCTTTGAGCTTCTCGGGGGAGCCTAGTGCATGCTTCAGCAGAACCAGCCCCACACGGAAGATGATCTTGACTCCTGCATGGGGGCAGGTGATGAGTCCAAGGGAGGCTTTTGGGCTTCCTTTGCACCCCCACAACCCAGCATAGCCTGGTACCTTCACAAAAGAACATGTCCCAGACACGCAGCACAGAGCTCCAGGGCAGCGTGCGGGCAAAGGCACACATGAACCACTCTGTCATGTACAGCAGGGGGTCAATCTTCTGGCGGCTAAGGTGCTTGTGAGCCACAGGAGACACCTTCTGTAGCAGTGAGAAGAGGATCTCGCCATCCAGCTGGATTGCCTCCTGAAGAGACATCAAGGCCACAGAGCCATGACCACAGCCCATAGGGTTCCTAGTACTGGGTCAACATTCAGTAATTCATCGGGTAGCTAGAGCCTATAGAGCACTGGAAGACAGATGAACAAACCAGACACAGATGGTCCCTCAGGAAGAGTGAAAAGACTCATGGACACAGAATGGGGAAGGGGACAGTGGGGCTCAGTGTCCCCAAAATGGCAGGAATAGAAACTCCTGCCTGTCAAGATCAAGAAAAGCTCCATGAATAGTCTGAAAGCTGAGGGAAAGGCATTCTAGTGGGACAGAATGGAGCTTCAAACAAGCTCTTCAACCTATACAAGGTCAAGGAGCCCTGAGGCACAGTGTGTAAGTGGAACCTGAGTGACCTCCATCAGGTCTTGGGCCTTGAGCCTAGAGCGGCTATGAGAGAAGTGAGAGGTCTTGGCGTGGCACAGCAGAGGGCATCCAGCCTGGAGCGTCTCAGGCTAGGCAGGCACTCACCAGTTTCTCACTGTAGTAGCCAGGCAGGTACTTCTCACAGACTTGTACCAGACACCAGAAGGCTTGCTGTGGATGAAAGGGGCATGAGCCCTTGCAGCTGAGGTTGGGTCCCCTGCCCACCTACCCACCTGGGTCCTGGGTACCTCAGCAGGCATGTGCATGAGCAACACAGCAGCAATGGG